AAGAAATGTATTGATACAGCAAAAAAGTTTCAAAAAGGAGGTCGCGTACATAAATTCATACGAATGGCGAACAGCCGTCGGTTAGTCGCTAAGAGCAAATATACATGACTACTCACTTATTCATAGTAGTATAATAATCGAGTGCATAATTATTACTTCGGAAATGACACTTTCGTAATCGACCATTCAAAATGACACGGTGGAACAAAGCAAAAAGAGCAGACAGTGGAAAAACTCACTTAAATTTTGCTTGCATTTTACTTCACTCTTGGTGGCCTTATGGCAAGTTGTGTTGGCGGTAGGTCGAATCCGCAATTATCTTCGCTGCCGATTCTCAGACCCAAATTACCTGACCGTCGCAGCTTACTTGTGCACTATGCAAGTTAACTTGATTGCTGTGCTCGAGGTTGTGCGTGCAAAAGTGTGAGCACATGTTCTTGCGCGTTGCCTCTAATTTATGTTCGTACAGTACAGCCATGACGCGATGATTTGTCATACAATGACCACAGGTAACGCGACAGCCAATTGTGGACACTGATAGGTATGTATTTGGTTGCTCTTTGTCCATGCTTGACCAGACTAAATTGGCCATAGTAAGTGAGTCAACGTCAGTACTCCTTTCGGAGTACTGAAAGTCGAGGTCTATATTTTGCTCATTTCATTTGTCTTCAAAGTGGACACCATCAGGTTCCTTCAGTGCTTTTTTGTTCTTATTTCACTACTAGATAGATGTTTCCACAGCATGTAAACAGACCATATAAAGTGTATATTTGGATCACCACTTTTATGAACTTACCGAACGCCTGGGTGATCATCCATCCAACGGCTCTCCTCCTTCAACTCCCCGAATTAGGACGAAACAGGGAAGAGAGAAGAAGTTAGAAAATATTGCCAGCAAAGACAAGGGAGACTGGAATTGCCAGTTCTGGTTAATTAGCCGCATACAGCCAGTCATATCCAACCCTGAGGAGTGCCCCACCCAAGGCTCCAACCCTTTCGGCGGACGTTCATCAACAAAGAGAAGAGTTCTGCAAATATTCCCATGTTTAACTTGAAAAGTGTATTTGGCAAACATGTGTTTTCGGCAATTCATCCTCGACCCGGTACAATTGCATGGATAATGAAATGATGGAGTTGGGCAGGGTGTCTGCTGATTATATCCCACCGTTTTTATGCCGTCCGCATGACTAGTTCGGCATGTAAAGCTCATTGCGCTGGGGGCGGGGGTCAGTTAGGATAGGCTATGAGTATTGTTCATGGATTGATTACGCGGACTGAAAATTACTTTCACCTGCACAGAGTGAATAACTGTCACGAAGGGTGTGGGAGCGAAATGCGATCGCTACCTGGTGTCGGCCATGGAAGTGATAATGCCTGTATTAACATCTTCTGACAAGACAGCACTGAAATCGCTAGCCGTATAGCCACTGCCTCGGTTGTTGCTCTCACCCGTTGCCATAGGTTCTTGGATAATTTGGCTAGTGTCCGGTAGACAACATGTAAGGCTTTGTTAAGGTTGACTCGGTGATTCGTATCGACAAGGTGTGTTAGAATAGAACCCGATATCAATCTAATTTCACTTTTACTTAGCCTGGTCAGTATCTGTTCACTTACCCTCTTTCTGGCGCCTTGTTGTTCGGCCAATGTATCCTGCTCCATAGAGGCAAGTGAAAGGGTAAATGCACATAGATGTGGTCGGTGTTTACCTCGGAAGCATAGGAGGGGAGAGTTCGTGAAGAATAGGCGTAAGTTCGCCGCGGGGAAAGCGTTTGTGATCGCTGTCTTCAAATGCCGCCTGCTGCATCGCCCAAGAAGGGCAGTCTTTCCTTTCTACACTTTCACTCTTCACTTACGTGGCCGACGCGAGGTGGCGATCGCATACCACCCTCGCCCCTGGTGACGATTGTTCATGCCTTGAAAGTGACAGTAATTTTCACTCCCCGTACTCGACCCATAACCAACACTCGCAGCGTATTCTAATTGCCCCCTCCCCCAGCGCAATGAACTCTACATGCTGAACTAGCCATGCGGACGGCGTAAAAATGATGAGATGTAATCAGCAGACACTTATTAACCCTGTCCAACTCTATTATTTCATTATCCATGTAATTGTACCGGCTCGATGATGAATTGCCAAAAATATGTTCACCGAAGAGCAGACTATTGACGTATTGCAACAAGAATATACGGTTATATCCAAGGTCGGACTTAAACTTGACCAATCAGCCAGTGTCCTTGAGTAGTTAGCATGTCAGTTGGGCTTCTGACGCATCTGATTGGTCGGATAAACCTGTTGGCAGCTAGCGTGCCATTACGGTGCGTGAGCTGATCCGCAGTACAGCCCGTGAGCGATTTGGGTAGGATGGCTTCTCCTTCTCCTCGCAACGTGCATTTTTATCATAATGAAACTGAGGAGAAGACGACTCGATGGCTGAGATAATACTTTTATTCGCCTGAAGCTTCGACATCCGTTGCGAATTCATCATCAGAGATATTAGCAGAAAACGGTAGCAGACACGAGTCCGAGTCGTCTTCTCAATTACTTCCTGGGATTCGCATGTTCGCTTGTATTGGCAGGATGAAACCTTTCACAACTTGGTGCAGCATAAACAGGCAGCCTAACCCTTACCTTGCTTTTAGCGGTTTTCCTTCTCTCTATCCTCTTTGAGCGTCCATCTTTTCACTGTTTTCTGATTTTAGAATGACATTCTTCGAAAGATTCCTCGTTATTCAGGGGCTCTTTGTCCTCCCAAGCGCAGATACTACACGTATTAACCCAGAAGAATCTTCCGCACTCGTTGAGGACTCGCAGCTCTTGTCTGAACACCTTAACATCTTCGTACGTTATGTTGGAGGAACCTCCTCTCCTAGCGTTTTCACCCTCAGGTACGATATCGCTGCTTCTAGTGAGGAAGCCAACTCCACAACCTCTCTCGGTTCAATTACCGTCTGCGGTGAGGTCGCTCGACGCGCCTACTGCAGTGGGATCTTTCAGGTCGGCTCTACCTTGTTGCTGGAATTATCGGACTCTCCCAGGGACGCTACGAAACCCACTCAACTGATCTCGGTCACCCGCGTTGCACAACCCTTCGAGCGGAGATTGAGCAAGTGTCGTCATCTGGTTGGTCTTTTTCGCTACAAGGTTTTGAGTATCACTGAAGCCTCCCGGTTGCTGCATTCCTTGTCAAGTAGTTCGTGTTACCTCAGTCCGTCGGGTGGTCACTTTAGGATCAGCTTACAGGTGAGTCGCACACGCCAGTGTGCAACAAAATGACTACTTAGTGTGTTTTCAGTAGTAAAGTTTTTTCATCTTCTAGGGCCTTGTCGCCGGGTGCCTAGTGCGTCCGGGTGGCCACTCGCGATTGAAGGGCAGTATCTGGCTGATCGACACCTTGCCAGC